TCTTATTTCAATATACATGCTTAAATGAGAGAATGCCAGCAAAGTGAGGCCACATGTTCATCATGAATAAGGACAAATAAGGCAGTTTTGAGACATTGTTCTGAGGGAGTTCCTGTTGCTGCAAAACAAAGCAGTTTTGGAGGCACTACTTGCTGGAAGTACCCATCGACATGCAGTCCTGATGAAGGGATCGATAACCCATTAATATCTAGAGAGTGGGTCGACTGCAGTTCATCATTTTGTGTTTGCCTCAAGTCTTAAAAGACTGGATTTATTTGCTTCATGGACATTTGTTTTTCCAGTCTGGAACAGAGAAGCCTTTTCTCCACCCTAGAACAGTGATGCCATTCTTGGGGATGTACTGTTCCCTTCAAGTTCTTAACTTGTCTGTGTAACCATTGTATTGTATTGGTCTGAATAGTACATTGAAATAATAAAAGCTGCTTAGGGACTGTAATTCCGTGGAGCTTTATTTGATGTTAAACCTCCAGATGGGGCCTGAAGAGGTCCTAGAATTACAACTAATCTCTAGATGACAAAGATCATTTTCCCAGGAGAAAACAGCTGCTTTGTAAGATGGACTTCATGGCGTTATACCCTGCTGTGACCCCTCCCCAAGCTCCATCTCCAAAATCTCCAGGAATTTTACAACCTGGAGTTGGCAACCCTATCTTTCACATATTGGAGCCAGTTTGGTGTAGTGGTTAAGTACGCAGACTCTAATCTGGGAGAACCGGGTTTGATTCCCCACTCCTCCACTTGCACCTGGCTGGATGACCTTGGGCAAGCCGTGGTTCTGATAAGAGCTGTTCTTGAAAAAGAGCAGTTTCTATCAGAGCTCTCTCAGCCCCACCTACCTCATAGGGTGTCTGTTGTGGGGAGGGGAAGGGAAAGGAGATTGTACGCCGCTCTGAGACACCTTCAGGTAGTGAAGGGCGGGGTATAAATCCAATCTCTTCTTCTTCTTCTTAACTGGAGCTGCTAGCTACCGAACCTGGGGCTTTCGCCACCAAGCCGCTTCCGCCTCCTGCCCTTCTCCCCCTCTCCAGCCTTAACCGTGTCGCTCCCAATAGGCTTGATTGGAACCCCGGAGGCCAACAAGCGCCCCTCTCCAATTAAATCCCTCACCGGGCCACGCCCCTCCCTTTCGCTCCGCCGTAAAAACGCTCCTTTAAATCACACACCCATCATTCCCCTTTTCCACCCCCAGAGCCGCCGTCTTCCCACCACCATTGCTGGGGGAGGGGGGTGTCCCCCCCCCCCCCCCCCGGGCGAGTGACTCAGCACTACGAGCCAGCTCCCTACCTGTTCCAGCGCTTCGGTCGCCATCTTACCCCCCTCACCGGTCTAGCCGGTGCGCATGCCCGATACAGAAGCCGGAAGCAGCGTGTATTTCCTTTTCCTCCTTCTTGCCCTTAGCCAATATGGCCGACGCTACTTCTTGAGTAAGAAGATTACTATGGCAGGACTAGAACAAGTTTAAGAGGCCTGCGACGACACCTTTAAGACTAACAAAGGTTTATTCAAAGTATGAGGTTGAATTTTTGAAAAGGTGTACTTTGCACACGGAAGCTTATACCTTGAATGAACCTTTGTTGGTCTGAAAGGTGCCACTGCCACAGGACTCTAATTTTTTTCTGCTGCTTCCGACCATCACGGCTCGCTACCGGGCTCTATGGAACGACTATTGAGATTATCATTGTTTTAAAGCTGGGGGTACAGCTCTAGGGTTACCAGATGTCCTCTCTTTTTTGGTGTCGGTTCTCTTTTGGGCTGTTTGTTTTAAAAACCTGATGAAAATGCCTTCTTTTTGCGTTGGAAGGTTACGAATATTATCACACCTTAAATAGGAGAGGTACTTACAATGAGATTTGTCATATGGATCACTTCCTTGACGTAGTCAGTTGGGAAATATGCCTTCTGTTTTGCTTTTCAAAATATGGTAACCCTAGATTTAATGACTTTCTATATACATTCTTCTCCTGCCAACCTAGCAGTTCGAAAGCAAGAAATTGCAAGTAGATAAATAGGTACCACTTCAGTGGGACGGTAACAGCGTTCTGTGCGCCTTGGTGTTTAGTCATGCCAGCCACATGACCACGGAAACGTCTTCGGACAGCGCTGGCTCTTCGGCTTTGAAACGGAGATGAGCACTGCAACCCTAGAGTCGGATTCGACTGGCTTTTGAGCAAGGGAACCTTTACCTTTATATACATTCTTGCTTGCCATGCTCAGGCAAAATATTTACTATTTCAAATAATTTTTTTTACATTCTACTGCAATGTTTGTGTCAGGATTTAATTTGCAGGCTGTCTTGTACACACTTCTTAAAGTGGAAATCCAGCATATAAATGGCTTTATTAAATAGGCCAAAAGGGATAGGTAAACTGAAGTCTAGTGTTGTTTTTTAAAGTCAGAAACCAAGTGAGAAATGTTTTTTACTGTGCAATTCAATGCTGAGTTATACCCTTGTAAGTTCAAGTCAATGGGCTTTGAAGGGTGTAACTTTGCTTAGAATTGCACTAAATCCGCCAAGCCCCAGCACCAGATCTGAACACCATCTTTCTTCAACAACAAATTCAAAGGCAGGCTTCAGTAAGGAATTGCTGAACTAGAACTTGTCTGGAAGCTATCCAATAAGGGCTCAGTCATGATTGTTTGTGTCACATTACTAGATTGGTTTAATATGCTTCACTATCACCTGTTATTATTTATCTTGTGTGTATCCAGGCTTTACAGTCTGGTCTTCTTGCATTTTCCCTCCTTAATCACAGCATTCACAATTTTTCCCCTCTCTGTGGCCCTGCATGCATCTGTTTACTGATAACACTTCTTATGCATCTGCTAATGACATAATAAATACATTTGGTTCTACAAGATTTGACTCAGTAAAGGAAGCTACTGCCTTGTTTGAAAACGTTCTGACCTCCCCAATTACTGCCCCCCCCCAATCTCCCAACATTTGCCAAGACAATGCTGAGAATGGAAACCCTACCTGTGGGCTTTATCTACAGATCATTTTTTGCCTTGCTATCTGAGACACTTTTACCTGGAGATGTGAGTTTTTAAGGTGCCACAGAATGCCTCATTTTTGGAACATTTGTGTGTCTTCTTAATCTGTTTGAAAACGTAAGCAAGGCTGTTAACGATAGGATGTTTTGGAGGGTCACCTTACATCGGAAGACACTTGACAGCACTTAGCACACATGCTACAAGATTCTTTGTTGGTTTGTGTTAATGTAAGCATTTTTAAAAGGCATAGTTAGAGAATTGCTTAAATAACTAGCAATAATCATGTTATATGAAAAAAACTTTTTGCTCACTGTAGGGGTTTGTTGGAATGGTACATGGGGATTTTAACAAATGAATAGTTCGAGAACAAAGTTTGAGTCCAGTGGCACCTTTAAGACAAATAAAGTTTTATTCAAGGTATAAGCTTTTCTGTGCATGCTTTGTTGGTCTTAAAGGTACCACCAAATTGGACTCAGACTTTATTCTGTTGTTTCAGACAAACACGGCTACCCGCCTGAATCTGTAATAATTCCAGCATGTTAGTCTATTGTAGCCAAAATAAACAGCAACCTTTTGGGCACCTTCAAAACTAATATGATTTTATTCAAGGATAGTCTTTCCTGGACTAGAACCTACTACTTCAGAAGCCATTAGTGGTTTGCGCTATCTCTCCTTATATATAATTGAGTAGTGGTCCCACAATGTTCTATGCACTCCAAAATCAGTTGGCTCCGTGATGTGTCAATCACAAGGTGTCTCTATCCACTGGCTGTGTTGCCTGAGTTCTCTCCCACCCACTGCAGCCTAGGCCACTCTTCTCTGATTGGGCCAGCGTTTCAAGGTCATTTGCATATGGAAGCTGCCACAGATATGTACCTGATAGCGCTTCAGAGGATGGTGAGCAGGTCCCAGGTTCATGTTATAAAAGCTGCCTGGGGGATTATGGACCATTCACAAACTTTCAACCTTAACATACCTCACAGGGCGGTTGTGCGGATCATACGGGGGAGAGGAGAATGATGTCATCTGCTTTGGTTCCCACTGCAGGGAAAGACTGCCCTTTCCCTAGGCAGAGGGGGGGGGGATGTAAACCTGAAGACAGACAGGCAGATAAAGGTAAGCTGAAATCAGCCATTCCCTCATGGGGAACCACTGTTGCCAAAATCCAGCTGAGGGTTGTACTTATATTGCGTAAGGATAATAGTTTGTCATTATACTCTACATAAGATATCTTCATGGTGCAGATCCACACATCTGAAGAACTGGGTCTGGTCCACAAAAAACGTGTGCTGGAACAGAAGAAGGGTGCACGCACACGAAAACTTATACCCAGAATAAAACTTTGTTGGTCTTAAAGGCACCACTGAGCTCAAACTTTGTTCTGAATATGCTAGTCTTTTAAAAAGCCACCAGATTCCCGTTTATGTATAAGTCTGTTTTGTAGGGCGGTTTCCAGTATGTGTGCATAGTTGTTGCTGAAGAAGGGAAACAAAGAACCAATCCAGCATTTAGTATTTCAGTTTGCCGGCCTAAAGCACCCTCACGTAAGACGCTTTTTCTGCAGCAAACTAACCAGCTTTCAAGGGCTTCTTCAATCCTTTCCACCACTCTTGCCCCGCCTAGGAAGAATAGAACCGGAAGTGAAACTTTAAATAATTGCTCCGGTTCCTCTTTGTCCCGCCTCCCTTGGGGGCGACGGAAGCCCAAGTAAAAAGTTGCGCATTCGTGGCGGCCATCTTGGTAAGGACTTTGCCCTTCTAGACTTTCTAGACAGCAAAGGGATTGCATTGCAAAGTAGTTGCGTTGGCTCAAATCACGAGCTGTTCGGAAGTGAGAGTAAGGTGGTCGAGAAGGCACAGCTCCTCTCTGACTTCAGAGAGAAAAGAGCGTACCGTGTAAGCCGTTAGTTTTGACTTCTGCCATGCTCAAGATGGCGACAGGAAGCAGGAACGTGCGTACGTACGGCAAAGAACCAGGAAAGGGGAAGGCGACGAGTCGCCGAGAGGGACATATCGAGCTTTGCGCACGTGTGCGGTTGGTGTTTGTCGTAATTTTTTGCTCCGGTTAAGCCGCAATAGCGGGTTCCCATCCAAGATGGGAAAGAAGGGCAAATTCGGGAAGAGCCGAAGGGACAAGTTCTATCACCTGGCCAAGGAGACTGGTGAGAAAATTCCTGATTCCATTACCACGTTTAATGGGCTACTCTGTGCAGCTTCTTCTTGATAGCAAGGGCCTAGAAATCAACTGTGACTAGCAGTGCCAACCTCCAGGCGGTGGCTGGAGATTTCCCGCTATTATAGCTGATCTCCAGGCAACCGAGATCGGTTCACCTGGACAAAACAGATGCTTTGGAAGGTGGACTCTATGGCATTATACCCCATTGATCTCCCTCCCCTCCTCAAACCCTCTCTGGATTCCGCCCACAAAACCTCCAGGTATTTCCCAACTCTGAGCTGGCAACCGTAACTGTGGCCTGTCTGGAAAGCCCAGGCCCAGGCTGATCTCGTCAGATCTCAAAAGCAGAGCAGGGTCGGCCCTGGCTTGGACTTGGATGGGAGTTGGAGACCACCAAGGAAGTCCAGGGCTGTTTTGCAGAGGCAGGCAATGGCAAACCACCTCCCAGCATCTCGTGCCTTGAGAACCCTATGGTGTTGGCATAAGTCATCTGTGACTCAGTGGCATTTTCCACCACTATAAGTATGCTATGTGCAACAAGCATTTTTTTGGTGGTGGTTGTTTTAATATGTGCCTGTGTGAGTGTACCTGGAAGTCATGGCGACCTCTGGTGACTAACCCCTACTCCGTGCCTGGAGGATATGCAGAGAGGTGGCTGAATGACGCCTGCCCCCGCCTCCAACCTCTGGTATTTCAAGAAGGTCTTCCATCCAAGTACTTGCCAGGGTCGACCCTGTTTAGCTGACAAGATCGGGCTTGCCTGGGCGACCCAGGTCAGGGTGCAACAAGCATTCTTAATGGGCCCTTGGTTGAACCCTGGTGGGGTGAACTGAGATTTAGAAATGGTTTATACTGGCTCTCTGGAGAGCTTCTTGGGGCAGCTGGCAAAATACATTACAGTGCTGTACAATAATAAAAATGCAGCAAGATAGTAAAAATGGCAACATAAGAATGATCAGTAATGAAACTAGCTGTAAAGCTAAGCCCAGAAACGTTGAAACAGTATTCAGCAGCCTAAAATGTTCTTAGGCCCCGTTCACACAGCAAATTTGCCCCACGGGAGGGACAGCTTGCCTGTGGATTAAAGCTGCGCGATTGTACCTGAACATCTGGGAAACGTCGCACTCCCATCCCTAACCCGCAGCTTCGGCCCGAAGACGCGGATTTAAAAGCTACCGGGAACCATGTACTAGTTTCCCAATAATGCGCGGCACGTGCGGGCATCTGCTCAGGAAGCGGTGGTAGCCCGTTGCAGCCAGCGCCCGTCAGCGTCCCACGCATGCGCACAAACACCTTGCTGTGTTACCTCGCATGGCGTGATCGGCTGCCGGAGGCTTGGGCACGGAGCCTTGGGGGAAGGTGAGATCGTGCTACTGCGCATCTTTTTGCTCCAGCTCAAAAAATCTCCCGGCCCCTGCGGATTATCCCGCTTGTGTGACCGGGGCCTTAGGCTAGAAACAAGCTATAATAACAGGTTAAAAAAAAAGTTAAATGCCTGGGTGAAAAGAAATGTTTTGGCCTGGTGCTTAAAGAATGGTAAGGTGGGCCTCAGGGTGTAGGGCATTCCAAAGGTGGATTCCTACTACAGAGACAGAACTGTCTCTGTTTGCCACTTGACTAACTTCTGGAGAGCCAACTTGGTGTAGGGTTTGATTCCCCACTCCTCCATGTGAAGCCAGCTGGGTGACCTTGGGTCAGTCACAGTTCTCTCAGAGCTGTTCTCTCAAAAGCAGTTCTCTCAGAGCTCTCTCAGCCCCACCTCTCTCATAGGGTGTCTGCTGTGGGGAGAAGGGAAGGTGATTGTAAGCCACTCCTTCAGGTGGTGAATGGTGGGGTATAAAACCAACTCTTCTTCTTCTCCCAGAGGAGTTAGGGGTGCCTTGGCAAATAATTCTAGTTAAGGGCTACCATATTTCAACTTTATGGGAAAACTGAAAGCCTAGGAGTTACTTACCTATCTGGAATGAAGAGCACCTGAAATCGGCTGATTGTGGTGTTTCTTGAAAATATGGGGCCTTAGGCTAGAAACAAGCTATAATAACAGGTTAAAAAAAAAGTTAAATGCCTGGGTGAAAAGAAATGTTTTGGCCTGGTGCTTAAAGAATGGTAAGGTGGGCCTCAGGGTGTAGGGCATTCCAAAGGTGGATTCCTACTACAGAGACAGAACTGTCTCTGTTTGCCACTTGACTAACTTCTGGAGAGCCAACTTGGTGTAGGGTTTGATTCCCCACTCCTCCATGTGAAGCCAGCTGGGTGACCTTGGGTCAGTCACAGTTCTCTCAGAGCTGTTCTCTCAAAAGCAGTTCTCTCAGAGCTCTCTCAGCCCCACCTCTCTCATAGGGTGTCTGCTGTGGGGAGAAGGGAAGGTGATTGTAAGCCACTCCTTCAGGTGGTGAATGGTGGGGTATAAAACCAACTCTTCTTCTTCTCCCAGAGGAGTTAGGGGTGCCTTGGCAAATAATTCTAGTTAAGGGCTACCATATTTCAACTTTATGGGAAAACTGAAAGCCTAGGAGTTACTTACCTATCTGGAATGAAGAGCACCTGAAATCGGCTGATTGTGGTGTTTCTTGAAAATATATTTCTCTCTTGCTAAATTATGTTCTTGGGGGGGGGAGTGTTTTTTCAAGCATATCACAATGGAAATGTGAGAAGAATATTATAAAGACACAACGACTGTAGCTTACAAAGTAACCAGAAAGCTTCCTGTGTTGTATTTGAACATCATATTTTGCTCAGGGAAGTGTGGAAAAGCAGAAGACACCTGAAACTGCCTTCTACATGTCAAGAGCTGTCATGGATAGTATTGTCTACTCTGACTGGTGGCAGTTCTCTAGAGTTTCAAGTGGAAGTTTTTCATGTCATCTGCTGCCTGATTGTTTTAACGGGATATGTTGGGGATTGAACCTCAGACCTTCTGTGTGCAAAGCAGATGGTCTGCCACTGAGCCATGGCTTTATCCCAAAGCTGAGGGAGATAAAAGCTGTCTGCAGAGTCTAACAGGAATAGCTGGGTTACAACATCAGATGAATTGTTTATTGAAAGAGGAGATAGCAAAGAAATTATACTTTGCAAAACAAAACTTTTTTAAAAATGCTAATAAACCCACTAGATGGCTGGCCTAAAAAATGAGTCAACAGAAGGAAAGAACTTTTATTAAAGTCTTGAGAAAAGAAGGGAAAGAAATCTATAGAAATGAAGACATCAAAAAAGCTATGGAGGAATATTATAAAATGTTATACGGGAAAACGACAGTGAGTATGGATAAAATCCAAAGTTATTTGGAAAATATAAATTGCAAAACTTACAGAAGGACAAAGAAAAAGATTAAATCAACAAATCTCAATGATGGAGGTGGTCAAGGCAATAAAGAGGCAAAATAGAGGGAAACCTCCGGGACCAGATGGACTCCCAATAGAATTTTACCATATTTTTGAAGAGCATATTGCACTGACCTTTAAGGATATATGTAATATGGCGAGAAAACAAGGCGTAATCCCAGACACGTGGAAGGAAGCAAATATTTCTTTGATTCATAAACAAATCTTAGATGAGAAGGAAATGAAAAACTATAGACCGATATCACTGTTAAATGTGGACTATAAGATTTTTGCATCAATTTTGGCACAGAGGCTGAAAAAAGTATTAGTGAAAATAATAAATAAGGATCAGTTGGGTTTTTTACCTAAGAGACAAATGAGGAATAATTTGAGAATACTGATGAATGTGTTAGAATATTATGAACTACACAATGAGAAGCAGATGGCAATAATCTTTCTGGATGCGAAAGCATTTGACAATGTTAACTGGACTTTTATGTTGGAGACATTTCGCATGTTAGATGCAGGAGAAAGCTTTATTACTATGATTCAAGCAATATATAGTGAACAAAAAGCAAAAGTTATGGTCAATGGAGAACTTTCAAATAATTTTGAGATCCAGAAAGGTACGAGACAAGGATGCCCTTTATCCCCACTTTTGTTTAATTCATAACTGGAAGTTATGAATGAAGCCATCAGAAGAGAGAGTAAAATAACTGCAAATAAAGAAAGAACACTTTAAAATACTAGCTTTTGCAGATGATGTGGCATTAATACTTGAAAACCCAATAGAAGCAGCAGGAGCTTTGATGGATAAGATTGAAAAGTATGGAGCAGTGGTGGGTTTCAAAATAAATGTAAAAAAAACTAAAATTATAACTAAGAACTTGGACGACAAACAAAAAGAAAAGCTACAAGAAATCACAAGATGTCGGATTGTAAAAAAACCCTAAACATTTAGGAATTACGGTCATAAATAAATGTAGTACACTCTGTGAAGACAACTATAAAACCTTATTACAAGCGACTGAACAAGATTTAGAGAAATGGAAAAACCTGTAACTCTCTATGATGGGAAGAACAGCTACAATAAAAATGAACATTTTACCTAGATGGATGTTTCTATTTCAAACTATCCCTATATTCCAAAATCAAAACCTGTTTAAAGGGTTAGATGAATTAACATCTATGTTTATATGGCAAGTGAAAAGGGCAAGAATAAGACTGAAAATGCTACATGATGCAAAGGAAAGAGGAGGATTTGGCATCCCAAATTGGTTATTGTATTACAGAGCAGCAGCCCTGGTATGGATTAAAGAATGGATTACACTAGAAGATAAGAGACTTTTGAAAATTGAGGGCCATGATTTACTGTTAGGATGGAATGCTTTTCTGTGGTATGAAAAAGCAGACACTCAAAAATATTTTAAGCAGCATTGGCTGAGAGCAGCATTGCTAAAGGTTTGGGACCCTATACATAAAAACCTTTATACTAAAAGATCAAGACTGATTATATCTTTAGAAGCATTTACCTTATCTAATGTATATGTGGGAGAAGAATCATTAAGATACCAGGACATTTTGGATAAAAAAGACTATTTTAAATTACCAGAACAATTATCCTGGTGGAAGAAAGCGCAACTGGAATCGATATATTTGAAGGATAAGAAACTAGGTTTTAATAATAAAATAACTAAACTGGAAGAA